GACAAATAAGTCACTTATGTACTTGGGTACCCAGTTGTTTAATGATTTATATACCATTATTGCTGTTCGTAGCATTACTCTTTGCTGTATAGGCAGGACTCCAGCAGCTTTAAATAGTGGCCCAGAAGAGGTTAGCTTCGGTTTGTCGTAAATAATTCTCAGAGCTAACTTTTGGAGTTTATGTATGCGAATAATATGACATGATTGTCCCCAAACTGTACAGCAATAATCTACATGAGGTTGTAAGAAACACTTGTAGTAAATTACTCGGTGACCAATAGGCAAATATTCTTTGATCTGTCTCAGAAGATGAATTCCTTTAATTAGAGATTTTGCTACTTTGTCAATCTGCTGTTTCCAGGAAAGATGTTCATTCATAACAACCCCAAGTATTTTCTCATTGTTGGTATTCTTTAACTGGACACCGTTAAATTCTACTCGTAGATTTGAATTTAATGTGGCTGCGCGCTGAGATGTTGTTATCATCATTGCCTTCGTTTTAGCGTCATTTATTACCATGTTTTTGTTAGTACACCAAGCTTGAACGTTTGTCATATCCTCAGTTAATTTATTATTGAGTTCCTCAACTGTTCTAGCACTTGTATGGATTGTCGAATCATCAGCATACATGTCTGTGTTGGAATTGGCATATAATGGAAGATCATTAATAAACATTATAAACAATAAAGGTCCTAGAATACTTCCTTGGGAGACACCATACAGAGAAGATTTCTTAGATGACAAAGTTCCTTTAAAGTGCACACATTGGTCTCTTTCTTGCAGGTATGACTTAAACCAGGATAATGTCAAATCATCACATTTGTAAACTGCAAGTTTTCGTAATAACAAATCTGTATCTACCATGTCGAAAGCTTTGCGTAGATCAATAAATACTGCCCCATTTATGAGGCCGCTCTCCATGTTGGATGTCCACATATCCACAAGTTTGCATAGCGCTATTTCACACGAGTGATTTCTTCGAAAACCAGATTGGGCATGATGTAATAAGTTATGACTCACGAGAAACTGGTAAAGATGATTGTGAATATGACGCTCGAGAACTTTACTGACAGCGCAGAGTATGGCTATGTGCCTGTAGTTGTTGACATCATATTTGGCACCAGATTTGTAGATTGGGATAATTTTTGATGTTTTCCATTTTGTCGGAAACATTCCGGATGAAAAACTTTTATTGAAAATCTTAGTCAGAGATGGAGCTATTAAATAGGTTGACATCTTCAAAATCTTGTGACTTAATTAAGCCATCAAGTCCGGTTGCTTTGTGAGTGTCTAAGTTACGTAGATAACTACAAACCTCTTCTTCAGTTAGTTGTGGAATACTAAAGGCATCATCACTATTAATTCTTGAGTTCACCATTTCAGATAATTTATCAAAGTTACTAGAAAATTGTTGAACCGCAACATATTGGTTAACAATGGTGGAGAAAAAGTTGTTGAAATGTTCACACATATCTTCAGGGTCCGATATGCTGGAGTTGTTTGAGTTATTTCGTAAACTTGACGGTGCGGTTTTAAGATTTGTTGGAATAATATCACGTAGATATTGCCACAATTTCTTCGAATCACCTTTATGATCTTCAACACAAGTTTTATAGTAGGTAGTTTTTGCATCCCTGATTAACGACACACAACGGTTTCTGTAGGTCTTATAATTTACCATTTCGTTGATCGATTTGAAATGATCCCTTTGGGCCATACACTGAATAATCTCGTAGGTCATCCAATCAGGTTGTTGTTGTTTTTTCACTCGTTTTTCTCGCAAAGGTAAATGTTTGTCAATCACGTCAAGGAATAAATTGTACCACGCCTCTAAAGCATTGTCAACATCATCAAATATATCGATTGTGTCCCAAGGGATTTGAGATAAGTCTTTACAAAAGGCTTCTTCGTTAAAGTTTTTATAGCAACGATACTTGATGGTCGTATGTGAATGTTTCCTACCAAAACTATCTTTAAATACTACGCAAGTTGGATAATGATCACTAATTCCAATTCTTGGGACTTTAACGCTTCTAATTTTATGTGGGACGGATGTAAATACGTGATCTAGGAGTGTAGATGTATTTTCTGTAACTCTTGTTGATTCTGTAACAATCTGGTGAAGATGTAAGTCACCCATAGATTCCAACCAACATTGAGAGTCACTGGTATTTTTCGAAACATCGATGTTAAAATCTCCCATTATTGTTAGTTGATGGCCTTCCACATAAGCTTTATTTAGTTGCATTTCAAAGTTTTCAATCATTTCAAGTTTTCAGTTTTCAAAGTTTTCATTCGGTGAATGATGGAATGTTCCATTCAACTCGGCTGTCGCCTCGTTGAATGGAACATTCCATCTTAAACATCTTTCACCTCATGAAAATATTCTTACCATTGCACGAATATATAAACATTCATTATTTGTATACCAGGCCTGTTTGTATACTATCGACGTGTTCACTGTATAACTTAGCCAATCAGTGACTAGTATTCTCAAAAATTACGTAATTACAAATCACGGCGTGCTTGGAGACAATCCAATATGGCGGTAAAAGAGGGGTTAAAATTTATGATTTATATTTATTGATATTCACACATTGAAATATGACGACTTGTGGATGAAAATGGCGAGAATCAAGGTAAATTAATCTTGGAACTGCGTGTCTGTTTTGTAGTTTTTGGTTTTTTGTTGTTTGTGGTTTTCGAAGCGTCTACCGAGGGCCCCCTATACTTTTTGCGTGAAGCGTGATGAGCTTATTTTACTTAGCCGTGAAACGTGATCGATGATTTTCTTAATCAGTGATTCGTGATAGTATGACTTCCAATCTTTTTACGTGCACGTGAAGGAAAGATTCGAATTAACCGTGACCCGTGAATGGCAGATAGAAATATGCGTGATTCGTGAATCATCTGTTTTGTGTGATCAGGTATAAATACGGTTTGTTGCTGTTTTTTGAAGTACTTGATGTACAGGAGCCTGTTTTCGACATAGTTGGAGGTTTGAAAGCATGTCGAGGTAAATACAGACGAGTACAATGATTCTACAATTAAGGAAGACACAGGGCCGTAGGAAGCTCTTTTCGATTGGGGGGGCTGAAAGCGAGGGCCGAAGGCCCGAGGAAATTTTTAAATTTAGAGTCTCTAAAATGCCATTTCCTGGACTTTGGGGGAAGATTTAACAGAATTCTGATAGTCAGAAAACAGCGTTTTAGTATGTCGAAATTTACAGGAAAGTATGGGCCAGACTGTAGTATTATAAATGCGCGGCGGGAATTTTCGTCGTAAATGGCAGCTGCGCGGAAATGAAGGCAGAACATTTGAGAAAATTTCGAAAATCTGGAGTCTCTAGATGGTCTGAAATGGCATTTTCAGAGTTTTCTTTCGCAAGACCCAACACGCAAAAGACAAAATAAATCATTAGTTCATCAAAAATGTGCAGATTTTGTGGGATTTTCTTGAAAATGCGCGACAGAAATTCAGCTAAAATTTCTACGCGAGGAACAATCTGGAGTATGAGTAATATCTTCATTCTTTGCAGTTTGTCACAGATTAAATGATAAAGTTTGCATGATTTTGAAAAAAGAATGATTATTAGCAAATTATTGGGGGGGGGGGGCTGCAGCCCCCCCCGGTTGCTACGGCCCTGAGACATCCTATAATAATTCGTGAATTTTGTTTTATTTTTACGTGAATCGTGATCGCTTCGATTTTTCCGTGAACGTGAAGGTATTTTTTCAATTTTTCGTGACTCGTGAAAAGGCAAAATATTTTTACGTGAAAGCATATTTTGAACGGGTATAGGGGGGCCCTTCTACCATGTTACCTATTTGGAATCATCTTAGCACCTACTAAAGCATTTGAGTCCGTTTTGGCGCTCGAATGAAGGCGAAATTGGTAAAATATGAGCTACAGAATTATTTTAAAGTATAACAACCAGCAAAGAAGTAAGCCACTAAAGATTTCGAGTAAAATTGACCCGTGAAATGTTTTAAATGTTTATAAATAAACGTTTTGCGACAGCCGACCTCTGAATAGAGAAATTTACGGCTGTACACAGGCTAACCTCTGAACTTTGATAAATAAAGCTGATTATTGCGCGTTCGAAGCCTGTATCATGCAGCGCCGACTTTTCACTCCTGCTTAGTTTCTCATAACCTTTGTTTCTCATATGAAACAATTATGTTAAGTACATAAATACACAGCGTATATTATTATAGTTCGGATCACTGCACACTTTCGTTGAGTGCCGATGTTTATTGTTTAGGACGTTAGCTCTCCCAGATGTTGTTGTTAGAATTTAGAAATGTAATACGATCCTTTAATATGAAGTCTGCGCTCAGTGCAAAAAGCGCAACAGTGCTGTATTTATACGTGACTCTTGTTTACGTTTAACTATACATCGTACTTATTAGTTATCCCGTCTCTGTTTCAGAACATCAATTGCAAACAATTGAAAATACTTTATTAGTCAATTGTATATTGATGTGTTTTATAATATCTTGTTTCACGGGGCAAAAGTCTATATTACTAGGGTACCTGCAAGGTAGGGATTGCTGCGGGCATTAGAAGCAAATAGAACTACAGTAAATAGCACAAATTATATATCAAGCGCAATTATTACTCGCAGCGACTAGTGAGCTGTGAGCTTAAGGGGGGCCTTAATAACCCAGTAAGGAATCGATTCTTACCATGAGTGGAACTGAGAAAAAGCAATATATATTTAAAGTAGCCAAGATCAGGGGTTAAAGGGCAATCACAGGTGACAGATATTAAACATGTGCGTCTCATTGACATCATGTAAATTAATTATATACCACAATTTTTGCTATCAGATTTCATATCAAGTCTGTTTTAATACTGCTAGGCAAATTTACCACATTATATAATAGACTGCATACACAGATTTATTACACTAAGAAACCAAAACTTTATAAAAATATAGAACTGACAGTGGCCAAAGTCCATTGAGTGAACAACGCACGAATCAATGCAAAGAGAACGAAAATTAGAACACCGAATCCGCGAATCGTTCTGAAAACTTGTGCTATTAAGCCGTACTGCCCCAGGGTGGAAAGTTTGTTTCTTGTGCGCCGAAGATTTGATCAAGGTTCAGTAACATGCACCAGTGGCTGCACAAATCCTTTTTTAAAACATGTTCACATGCGCCGCCGAGTTGCAATATCAACACTTTTAGAATGAGACAGAACAAATACTAAACATTTGAAATACGGTCAGTCAGTGCTCAATCAAATTCCCTTTATTAAATTACTGAAATACAGACATAAATGGTTGAGAACGTTGTCGTGTGCGCAAGTAAATATTTTTTGTACGCCAGTGCGCCACGCCAGTTCGTTTTCCCATAATTCTGCGCCAAAATGGAGCAAATTTATGAATTTTCCACGCCGAAGATCTTCGGCGCAACCTACAAACTTTCCACCCTGGGTCACTACTGCCGAAGCGAAGGCCTTTCAATACATGTGCTTCCACGTATATATGAAACCTCACTTGATGCAAAATATGGAAATCAGCTAGAGAAAGCGAACGCGAATGGATAGAAAAACCTTTTAAAGACATCTCTATGTAAGACGTCCGTGCTTTACAGCACTATTAATATAGATATATAGATATAGATATATTGGCACATTAGCAGAACATATAGTTTATATACAAGTGTACGGAAGGCGAATATAAATAGCAAGAAAACAATGAAGTGAATACAATCGACAAAAGGTTACCTTTCACTGAAGAAGTCTTCTTGAGAAAAACGAAAAACCTTATACCACTGCGGCGAAACTCAAGTGTGAGAAATTAGAGTCAGGCTGTTCAGCTTCCACGTGCCAACGACTGTATAACATGAGATTACTGCGCATCTACTGCGCACGACCACAATTCCTTGCGCTTAAAAAATTGAGAAATTTTGCCCCTCTACACAAATTAGGTCTGCTGCGTCGCTCGCTCGCTTCAGGCTCGCTCGCTTCCGCAGCAATTATGGCATGTACGAATTCGTATCTCATTTTTGCAGCAGTTTTTGCAGCATTTTTGTTGTCCAAATTCTTCAATTCGGTGCCAGAAAGTGCAGGAATGGCATTTCCGAGCTTCAATTTTTCAATTTTTTCGGGAGATGGGGAGAGCATGCCCCGGACCCCTCAGTTCTCAGTCCTCCTAACTTTAAATATATCTTCCTACGCTACTGCTGTGACAATTCGACCATGTTTTGCCTGCCTACGATACCCATCTTAGCTGAAAATTAGCCCCACCCCCTCTCCCCAATAAAACCCGTTCTGTCGGGAAAAGCTGTGTTCACTTGCAATTTTCGCTGCGATTTCTAGTGCGATTGAGTATCTTCTTCTGAGGCCCCATCAGTCTGATGGATGTGAACGAGTACGGAGTAATGAATGTTGTGAGTGTATGAACCTTCATGCACAGAATACTACACAGAAGTTTTTTTTTAGGTTTACATGTAGGTAATGAGAACCATATTGGTGTCCTAGTAATAATTTTATGCCACAATAGTCCCTAAATGTTAGATGAAAAAATGTAGTGTGAAATATGATAGGGTAATGGCCTGGTGTTGTTGGCACAATCACAATGTATGCCTGTGAAAAAATGTTATATTTGAAAAACCTGAGGATAAAAGATAAAAAACCACTTGTATTTGTATAAATGTGAACCTAAGAAATATAAGTGTAGGTTATAGACTTGTGGAACATAAAATTGGAGATGTATGCATGTGTGAAATTGTAAGAGTAAAATATATCCTGTTCGGCTGGTTAATTTTGCAGGTTGCAGGTTGCAGGTTCGCAATTCCCAACATCCAGACGATAAATGAGATCAGTGACTTTTCTCTTAAAATTATTGTGTTACCATGACAATACTTCATGTTTGGAAAACATAATAGTTTTTTAAGGCGAGGGTTTCTGCATGCATGTATTTTCTAGTATAGCTTATAATAGACATTTGCTCTATTCTATACAGTATATACCAGTATTGGTATTTTTGTTTGAATAAAGTGATTGTTTGTGATGAAAACCGGAAGAGGAGATCAGTCACTGATCTCATTCATCGTCTGGATGTATGGAATTGCGAACCTGCAACCTGCAAAATTAACCAGCCGTATTCCGTTGTGTAAAAAAATGATCAGACCCAAAGAGTATGATCGCGCTGTACTAAAATGCTTGTATATAGAGGCATGTAAAATATATAAAGCGAGATGAGAAAGTCATGTGTGTAAATTTCAATATCCCTGTT